GCGCCAGCATCAAGGCTCTGGCCTACCGTGTGGATGTGTGTGTGTGTCGTGTTTGTTCTCCGCCACGAGATGTGATGAGCTGTTTGTGCGTTCAGAGTTTTGTTTGCGTTGCAAACAGTTTGCTTTTCCCAAGCAGGTAAGCTTAAACATTTTTGGCCCATCTTGGCCTAGATATTTAAATCTGCAGGAGCCGAACACATCGAGCGGTTGTAAACTCTGTTCTACTTTTGTTTACCTGCTGTAGTTATGGTGTGTACAGAGACCCCGAGTGTTGACACTGTTCTGCACATTCTTTTCTGGAAGCTTACACTGTGTAACACCTCATCCTGTAGCTGTTTATAAGCCTCACTGGAGCAGTTTGGGATTAAAAAGGCCCGGTTTCAGAGCACGTTAATGGTCGAATTGTGTGTGGAAGGGTCTTGCAGGAGGAGCCTGTTTTTTTTCAACCTGTTTTTGTAAATATGTGAGTGTGTTGGAAAGCTAACTGAAGGTTTTTACACATTTCTCTTAATGATTCCTGTTCGGACAAACGAGGCAGTATTTTTCCCTCTGACTGAATTAACCTTATTGCCAAATGTTTCTCTCCTTACTCTCAGAAGGTTCTGGCCAAGTTGTCTCCGTCCACGTTTCGACTTTAACTGGTAAGGTCATTTTTGTTTCATTTACGCACTTAGTAACTTATTTTAAGAAGGGAATTTTATCACAGAAAAACCCCAAACATTTCTAACACTAAACCTAACAGTGACAATAGCCGTGTCTACAAAAAAGATAAAGATGCCTTAAAATGGTGAACTAGTCTTAAAAACTCCATTCACCGTTCGGTTGGATACAGATGCATAAGGTAAACATCCTCAGACAATATGAGTGTGCCAAAGCTAGAGACAGTACAGAAATGGAGGCAGGGGTCTGCTCTCAGATGAAGATATTACCTACATCCGAGGATTATTTCCAACACTTCCCCTTGTGAGATTCTCCATTATATGGGTCAATAGAGGGCAATGGGAGAAGAATAAATACCCGGCCCACTCCAAAAGACGCCGGCCCTCCTCTCCATTTCTGGCACATAAACATGTGCGCACGTACGTGCGCACGCGTGGGCCGACACAGGCTGTCAGCCCATCTGATTGCCTGTTAGGAGCGTCTCACCCACCACGACAAGTGCCCTTTAGCGCCAAGAACCATTTTCTCCAGCGTGTCAGATATGGGGATATTAATAAATGCACGCCGACAGTACTTAGGGAGGCGGGCAGCCATCCTGCCTCCGCAAATTTACCCGCGGGTCACTTTTGTATGACAGGGAAAAGAAAGTATGGAAACAAACAGGTGCAGGTCAGAAACTCATCTCCTCTCCCAGATTAAAAACTCATCTTTCAAGGCAGCGCGGCGTTATTGAGGCTGATTTTCAGTGCTCTCAATGCAAATGGAGGTGTGATTAGGCGCACGGGGGGCGGGGGGGGTGCAGATGCGACTGTGGAAGAGGAGAGAGATGTGTCCCACCGCTCAATTAC